TTTTAATATAATTATAAGATTGACCCTGGGAACTTTCAGAAAATTCTCTTGTGGCCTGAATATTGTATTGAACTTTCAAAAGGGTACAAATCTCTCAGTCAGCTGTGATATTCATATTGTTCTGTAATGTGTTTTATCAAAAGAAAACAAGTTGTTATTTTCGGCATCCAGCAGTTTGATTATAAGATACTCACAAAATTAAGGGTTCAAAAATATTAGGGCAGCTTCATGAAACCTGGCCTAAAATAATGTTTTCCCTAGTCATTCCATGACTACAAGTCTTCTTAATTAAAGTGGGGTAATCTATTTGGTTAAGTACCTCATTCAAGTACATACACAAAATATTGACTTTAACAAAAAGGCAATGTATGGGTTCTAATCCTAATTTTCCAGTTTAACTCATATCTATCTTGTATTCAGGATTATAGCTATGACGGAATCTTGCTTCAAGATTGGATTTTTACTGCATCACATTTCTTGTTTCTTAATTTAGAATTCTTTTCTTACATAATGCCAGCAATTCTCAAGACTGGAAATTGAAAATTTTTGTATTGTATTAATATTCTGATTCAACCTAATTCTCTGTGTGCAGCTGGTTATGTAGAGCTCCGTGACGTGTTTATATTGGGTATTGCGATTGGTCTAATGCAATTTGTGATATGAGCACTAGCTGGAGCTGCATGGTGGAAACTTTTGGGACTTTATTGAGATGGAAATGTGAAGGTCAGCATTCTTGCTTTTTCTTTTTTCTTTTTTTTTTTTCTTGTATTTTTATTATTATTATGGAGGGTCCTATCGAGCTAGTTCATCCTGTCCTTTTAGCTACATCCGCGACATTCTGAATTCTAACTGCTTATTGAGATTGTTACTAAAAAACGAGAATGTTTGGAGGGAGACATAACGTTTGAAACTGGTTTGTTTTGCATATGCAAGTATGGTTAGAAATTTAACTTTTTTTTGGAGAATTATGTTTATTACCAATCTAAGTGTAATAATACAATCAGGTTTTTCGGAACAGGAGAATGATCAAATTGAAATGCCGGTTGCCAGGATCAGCTCAAACAAAGCCTACATGTGTGTATATACTTAATCTCAGGTGCTTAAGTTGAATATGAACTTGTTACACAAGGAATAGTTTTAAGTTCAAGGTCTTCACAACTAGTCTGATTTGTAAAGAGTAAAAGGGGAGATAATTTTGATCAAGCAGCCCAGTAATGAAAAAGAATTTTAAATTTTATTTGTTTACTGACCTGTAATAGCATTTTTCTTCAGGCCGACAGACTAGCTCTTCTTGATTTCATAAGACTAGAAGGGAAAAGAGAGAATAGAGAAAACGTATTCTATTTTATTATAAATGAAACTCTTATTTATAGAAAATCTTGGTTGGTTGGGATATTCGTGATATTTATAATATTCCTTCTTAAATGACTGTATTCTAAACATATCTAAACTAATTGGAACAAAACCAAATTCGAACATCTTGAAGTATAATTTGTGGTCATCAGATACCGGTGCTTCAGCGTGTGAGGAAAATCCGGTGTGACAAAATCTAAATATTGTGGAAGCATAAAATTGCTACCCCCTCAAATAGATCATCTTAGTGGAGTATTGTTTTGGCTCATTAACGTCTTGTCAAGAAAATCCAGTGGTACAAAACTTAATCGAAGGAATAATAGTACATCTACTCTAGTGTCTTCACGAGGAATCTTATCGATTATCCAATAATCCTCATTAAAAGCTTATTAGAAAAAACCCAATGAGACAAAATCCTAACAAATGAAAAAGAGTATATTATTCATGTGAATACGTCATCTCTGTTTTCTCATTAAAATCCTTGTAGGGAAAACTCAATAGGACAAAACCTTAATCAAGGAAAAAAAGTACAACGTGTATCTCATATACATTTCATTCGCCATAATAATCTTTCCATAATTTGTAAGAGTGTCATATATATTTGTTCATTTCAAGTTTTCAGATACTGATGGTAATAATTTATTATCATATCATATTTTGTGCAACTTTCAGTCTTAAACAAATTTCACAATAGTTGAATTACAATTGTCTTGTCAATATCTTAATTAGGAAAAATCCTTTGGGACAAAAACTTCAATCAAGATACCAATCTTTATATGATCCATTATATGAAAAATATATTCATAAATTCTTCAATATTCCAAATTACATCACAATCTCAAAACAATACTTTTGTATCAGTATATGTTTCCACCATGACATATTATACTCTGGATTGATTTCAACAGATTTCACTATCCTCATTATTAATGAATTTCAATATGCTCATTATTGGTGAATTTCAGTAGTCTCATTTCCAATAGATCTAAATATTCTTAGTTTTAGTTTATCTGAATATCGTCAATATCACTTATAGCGCTATTCATTTATAGTTGCCGACACTTATTCATTTTTTTATTTCTCGTATTATATTGAGTTGTCTCATTATCAATTGGTTATACATAATTTTCATGTTCACATACTTTCATCAAGAGTACATTTCTTCTTTTCACTTAAAAATTCTGGAGCATTTCCATTTGCACAATACCAATACTTCAAGTGTATTATTCCATCAACATCATTTGATATAATTCGCCACCATCAATGTCATAGAGTTTATGACTTTGCATACTTTCAATTTGATACATTTATAGATATCATTTACAAATTTCAGATTTTGAATCTCCCCTTCATCTTAACAAGTCTTTAACAACCTTTCTCCTATATTTGATCTGTATTATCAATATGAAGCTTCATGAGGGAAGTTCATATAGTTTTATTCCATTCTCATTTTTTGCACAAATAGGAGAACTTTAAACTTATATCACTTGTAGTGTGCACATTTTTCTTTCAAGAACTCATTCATACCAGTTGGTTATATTACTAGCTTTATCAATTTTAATATAACACTTATTTTCGTTCTTTCATAAACGTCTCATAAACTTCAATTTACGTGTCATATACACATCAATTGATCAAACCATTTCGTAAACTTCAGGTTACGAGCCACATAAACACATGGCTATCTAGTGGATCCATAATATTTAGTAGCACACATAGATGGGTAGTGGGCCTGATGCAGTCTGGCCAAGAACATAGAACAGGAAAATAAGAGAACTTGTGCAGATGATTTTTATTGTCATTCACTGCGGAATAACTCCGCTTTCATCTTCATAAATAGACCCACAAAGACTCCCAAACCCATGATTTACTCACTAAGTCTAAGTAACAGATAAATATTATCCTAATCATAAAAGAGATAATTAATAGAAATAAAGATTATGCAGCTAATTAATTATTTTGGAACCGGCATGCGATCATATTTCTCCAAAAAGGCAATTGCGAGCTCGTCTTCATCATCCTCCCCCGGTTGAGGAGGATTCGCCCTCGAATCCGGCACGAGCTCGTCTTCCTCCAAGTTGTCTCCAAGGAAGGGCACTAAGTGTTTGACGTTAAACACATCCGACGTTCGAATATGAGATGGCAGCTGAAGGCGATATGCATTAGGGTTGATCTTCTCGAGTACCTCCAAGGGGCCAATCTTACGTGCTGCGAGTTTGTTGTATTCATGAGCAAAGAAACGGTCCTTTGTGAGCATGGCCCATACAAAATCCCCGACGTCATACTCTACGTGCCGCCGTTTAGCATCCGCACGGCTCTTGTAACTCGCGGTCACCTTCTCCAAGTGTGCCCGAGCGGACTCCTGCACCCGGCGCAAATCGGCCATCATGTCCTCGGCCCTGCGATCAGTTGGCAGTGATGAAGGTAAAGACAATAAGTCAGCAGCCCCTCGTGGACGAACAACATACACAACTTCGAACGGCGATAGGCCGGTGGCCCGGCTGACGGCCGAGTTATGTGCAAATTCGGCTTGGCTAAGCCGTTGATCCCAACACTTCAAATTTTCACCGCCAAGCAGCGTAGTAAATTCCCCAACGACCTATTGACAGCCTCCGCCTGTCCATCCGTTTGAGGATGATATGCACTACTAAAGTCTAAGCGAGTGTTGGCAAGACGCCATAAACTCCGCCATAAAAAGCTAAGGAATCTCGTATCGCGATCAGAAACAATAGAAGATGGCAATCCATGTAAACGATATATCTCACGAAAGAACAATTGTGCGACGTGGACAGCGTCAGTGGTTCGCTTACAAGGGATAAAATGAACCATCTTCGAGAAACGGTCGACTACGACGAAAATCGAGTCATGACCCCTCTGCGTACGAGGCAACCCGAGAACAAAATCCATACTGATCGCGACCCAAGGCTGGGAAGGAAAAGGTAAGGGCCGATATAATCTAGCATTTGAAGCCACTCCCTTCGAAACATGGCACACCCGGCAACGTTCCACAAAGCGGGTCACATCACGTCTCAACGTCGGCCAAAAGAAGGAACGTTTAACCAAGTCGACGGAGCGATCTCGACCAACATGGCCAGAACCGTGAATATCGGCAATGAGCTTAAGGCGCAGACTGCAATCGGGGATGCACAAACATACTCCGCGAAACAAAAAGCCATCAGCTAGAACATAATCATCAACGGGTCCCAACGCCAGACGAGACACAATAGGCCCGAAAAAAGGGTCAGACGAATAAAGATCACGCAAAATATCAAAACCCACGACCGAAACTCGCATGTCGGTCAATAAAGCGACCCGACGACTCAGAGCATCCGTCACTCGATTAAAAGTCCCCGAGCGGTGCCGTAGGACAAAGGTAAACTGCTGCAAGTACGAGGACCACGTCGCATGACGTGCAGAAATATTGTCCTGAGACGATAGGTGGCGTAAAGAGTCGTGGTCGGAATATAGAACGAACTCTCTCTGAAATAGGTAATGACGCCAGTATCGCACAGCACGAAACACCGCATAAAACTCCACATCATATGTGTTGTAGCGAAGTCGGGGTCCTGACAGCTTTTCGCTAAAGTACGCCATAGGCCACCCATCCTGACTGAGGATGGCCCCAATACCGACTTTGGAAGCATCGCAGGACAGTTCAAATGGACAAGAAAAATCGGGAAGGACCAGAATCGGTGCAGAAGTCAATTTTCCCTTGATAAGAGTGAATGCCTCGTCGGCCTCTGGTGTCCATGCGAATGTCGTGCCAGTCAAGCAGTCCGTGATCGGCGCCGTAATGGTACTAAAATGAGAAATAAACCGTCGGTAAAAGGAGGCGAGGCCATGGAAACTGCGAGCCTCTGTAAACGACTTCGGCGTCGGCCACTCACGTATAGCGGCAACCTTGCTTTCATCGACACGTATACCCTCGCTCGAGACAACAAATCCCAAGAAAAGAACCGAAGGGACCATGAAGAAACATTTACGTGGAGCTGCGTAAAAGCACTCAGTTCTCAAAATGAGAAGGACGGACCACACATGAACCAAGTGCTCTTCGATCGTGCGACTATAAATCAGGATGTCGTCGAAATAAACGACGACACATCGTCCGATGAGATCACGCAACGCCTGATTCATTACACGCATGAATGTGCTGGGCGCATTGGAGGGACCAAAAGGCATAACCATCCATTCAAAAAGACACTCTCGAATTTTGAAAGTTGTTTTTCATTCATCACCCGGCTTAATACGGATTTGATGGTACCCGCTTCGGAGATCAAGTTTAGTGAAAATAGAAGCTCCATGCAGCTGGTCGAATAAGTCGTCGAGGCGCGGAATCGGGATACGGTAGCGGACGGTTATTTTATTAATGGCCCTACTATCGACACACATGCGCCATGATTTATCCTTCTTATGAATGAGTGAGGCTGTTATGGCGCACGGGCTTAGACTTCGTCGAACAACACCACGCTGCAAAAGGGACTCCACCTGTCGGCGTAATTCTTCGTGTTCCGCGGGCCTCATTCGATAATGAGGACGGTTAGGTAATGAAGCTCCTGGTACCAAATCAATTTGGTGCTGGATGTCCCGAAGTGGAGGGAGGCCGGATGGTAGCTCCTCTGGAAAGATATCGGCAAACTCCTCAAGTAGCGGTCGAATGATTGTCGGAATGGGCGTGTCGGTCTCAACATCAGATCCTACAATGAGAAGTACGAATGGTGCCTCGCGCATCTCGTCGACAAACTCTGCACGAGATAGAAAAAGAACTGGAGATGGCTCGGTGGTCACTACGGGCCGAGGAGGAGATGGATGAAGTACCAGGCGAATCCCTTCAAACATAAAGCTATACGTGTTGAGGCGACCGTCGTGAACTACCGACCGATCGAACTGCCACGGCCGACCCAATAACAGGTGGCAGGCGTCCATGGAAACCACGTCACACCATGCGGCATCCCGATACTTAGGCCCGATAGAGAACTT